ACACTATCCGAAATTGTTGCTTCTGCACCCACAGACACTTGTAAATTGAAAACACTCAAAAAATGTTCTTCTCAGCATGCCTATTTGGGACATCATTGCTCATTTGCCCCACGTCCAAGCTGCCTGTCTTCCCTCAACATGTGAAGCCTCATTAAAGCAAGACCCGAGCTTTACAGATTTTGACTTAAATTCCTCCTCGCAGGTATATAAAGCATCGTAAATTTTGTAGTGGGAGATGGCCGGATTCTGATAAGGCAAATGCCCAATTGCGATTGGAGTAACGCCATTATTGGCATTTGAGGCGAGGTGGTGTAGTAAGATTTATGTAGAGGACTCGCGTGAGAATGATAGGTCAAACATTTGTCAAGAAGTCGTCGATTTTTGATATGCTTGAGGTTGCTTTTGTCTTCAATTTGTATGCAATTCTTCATAGCTATCTCAGACATGCAGAGCATACTTATAACAGCTATAAAGCCGGCATTTCCTGTAGCCAGTACTGGCAAGTACTGGCGTGCAACCACCGGAGAACAGGCAGGCGAAAAAGCCACGTAAAAGATACTAGAATCTCCTAAGAAGGAACTAGAAAAGTCTCCATGTGAGTAAGACTGATACTGAACCTTGGAGAAGCTGCTAGAAATGATACCCTTAGAGTAGCAACTGGAATAATCTAGAAATGAGCTGACCATGGATGGGAGAACTTAGAATGTAATAAATCTGTATATATACCTGGATTATTATGTAGAACTTAGGTCTTCATAGTTGAATTATAAGATACCATCATCCATACAGATGCTCCTTGCTTTCTATAGTTGTTCTGTGACACTCCGAGAGCAATTGCACCGGCAACACTGGATGTTGAAGAATTCGTCTTTGCTGGCTGTTCCTTGTGGAGCTGAGCCTGGTATTACCCGAGGTGGCAAATGAAAAATGGTTGGGGACTTTTGTCATTTGCATGTGCAAGTTAGAATGGCGTTTTCGTGCTGAAAAAATCGGTGGTAGGGGTACTATTCACAATCCCTGTCAATGGTGTCACCTGCTAGAGGGCAAGGCTGAACACGTGTACGTGTAGTCCTCTACAAACCTGGGAGTGAAATATTCTCCCAGAGCCAAATTCAGTCAAATTTCGCAATATCAAAGAAGTTGACCCGCGAGGCAAAATTTCAAATTACTCCACCATTTCAATCTTTCACTCCCAAAGAGTCCGATTCCCAACTAAGCTTCATCAAGTCTACAAGTACGACCTAGTACATCCTCATCCCAATGAACATACCTCTCGTCGACTTTCTCTGGCCTTAGCCAGTCACCAAATACGCGCCCACGCCGATATTTATACCCGACGGAGGAAGCAAAGCGTGGAGCATAAATCTGGGAGATAGCTCTTTGGCCAGGACGTGAGAGGGATCAGGACAAGTTCACAAGATGATGCAGAGGATTGGATACAGTCTCGACAGGTGTGGAATTTTGAATTTTGGAAAGGAGTTTTTACAAATTGAGCTTTGTGCGTGCCAAGTCTTCGGCTGCGAGAGTGCAGGCGATACTATAAAAACAAGCCGACGATGGAAGGTGTTGTGATCCGCCTTCTAGTGATGTTCTCTAGTGTAGTCTGAGTAGCCTGGGCACCTACTCCACTTGGGAAGGAGACACCTCAGATTACATTTCGCGCGAAGAAAAGTTGAAAGATGGAGGCATGTCTGGATAACTCAGGGTTTTTGAGACGATCCCTTGGATGGGTATTCACGGATGAGGGTTGACTTGGGGTGAAGAAAATCCGCCATAACTTCGCGGTGGTACTTGCAATTAAAATCTGATGCAAAAATAAAAAGAGGTAAGGAGCACAGTACAAGGTGTGGCCTGGGTCAGAGAGGAGTCCAATGTGCTAAATAGTCTACTACTCGAGAATTACAATAAAGTCACACACACTCACACCTACAAATTTTTGAAATTCGAATTTTCGAATCTTTACATTATACCCCTCTCGCGCTGAATAGATTAATTTATACATAAACATCTAAAGGGAATTTCCCTCACTGTCTATGAGAGCACAAGCTGAATTAATTATTAAAAATACTCAAATGTAGCTGGTTTCTATCACGTAGATTCTAGAAGTCCTCTACAGTCAAAGACTCAGATAGGACTATAATAAAAAATCCAAATACAAAAATCCCTCTCGCGCTCGTCGCATTTCCTCAACAAATTATAATCGAGTCACTGGCATTTTTATCATGTCACCTGTTCGAAAAAAGCTTCCCAACACAGTGTTGGACAACGCGAGAGTCCGTTCGAGGGCTCCCGCAAAAAATATCAAGCATGCTTGCGAGTGAGGCTTTCATCGAAGGGAAGTCTCCAAACCTTCCCGACAAAGAGATGACTGATTCTGAGCCCGTCAGGTCAGCAAAAATCGGTCTCGAGACCCATACCCCTATCGAGATTGCCCCAGAGGCAAGCAACTCAAGGAAAGTAAAGGAAGTCGTCCTAGAGAAAACGACAGAACAAGCAGAAACGTCTGCAAGAAAATTCACTGTGGCGGCTTCAAAAGGCACAGCTTCGACATCAGCACCGGAATATCCTCATGAGCTGCAATCAGTGATGGAGGCCGAGAAGCGTCGCACGACGCAAATCAAGGCTCGTCTATCAATCTGTTCCATTGCAATGAGCAGTGTTGTAGCAGCACTTTCGCCTCTCTCGATTGGCGACGAAAAAGAATTTGTAGACGGTATCAAAGTCTACCTTCAAGCGGCCATTGGCCAGTTCGTACAATCAGGCCCAGGGAGCACTCCACCAGCTCTCCCTGTGCGCCCCAGCAACCATCCTCCGCCGAGGACTCATGAAATTAGGGTACCTAACCTTTCGACAACCTAGGCTCCGGCCCAAAAGACAACTTGGGCGAATGTAGCCCGAGCAGGCCTTGCCACAGCACTGGGCCGTCAACAAAAAAGACAGCCCCACCCGACCCAAAAGCAAAGGGAGCCAATACGAAGACAGCAGCCGATACGCGACTGTTTCTACGCCTCGATTACGATCACCCCCGCCGACTCCTTTCACTAGCTGGCGTAAGATCAGCTGTCTCAGAGGCACTCGGTACCGTAGCCAACAATATCACGTTGGCTCAGCGGGTAAAAATAGGCTTAGCACTAACAGCAAAGGATGAAAGAGTTCGGACAGAGTTCCTGGATTCCTCCGCGGCACGGAAGGAATCTGGAATTAATCTGGAACCAGCATCAAATCTAGTTGCCCTTCAAATTGCCACCGTCCCGGTGAGAATTAACACACTCACAGGTTCCGTTTTCATCACGGAAAAGATGGTCGCCGACAAAGTCACGCAAGTGACCAAATCAGTTCCTTTTCTTGTTCGTCCTCACGGGACCAGCAACCCCGGGGCACCAGACCAGAACTGGCAAGCGCTCTTCCCTCGCGAATCCACGCCTCGACCTGGATTTCGCGTCTTCGATGATTCTGGAGCTGCAAAGCTCTTCCAACCTCGTCGAAAAATAGTTCAGTGCAAACGATGTCTTGGCCTCCATGCCTCTCGCGGTTGCTCCCGCGGTTGCTCCCGCGCTCCGGCTTGCTGGAACTGCGGATCAAAAATGCACTCTGTAGCGGAGTGCAAAGCCCCCACACGGTGTCGAAACTGTGGGGGACCTCATCGATGGGATTCACGATTCTGCAAAGCTAGACCCAGCAAGTTTGGACCGGTGAAAAAAGAGCAGTTTGCGATAATTCGCAAGGTCGTGCAGAAAAATCACGCTGATTATGCTCGAATCAGAGCTGCAGCTGAAATAGCCATTCAGGCGATTCACGGCAAAAAGAACGACGTCTATATGTCAGACAGATCGGGTTTTGGGATTCTGGAATCCGAAGAGAAGGTTTGAGGTTGCGGCTAGCCTCAGTGAATTCGTCGAGGCTTCAATACACTAAAAGTAGGACACCACATTGAAAAAAAGTGCCTACGAGCTCATCTTCTGCTCTCGGCGAAGGTCAGAAATTGACACTTGGAATATGTGACAGGAAAGGGAACGGGCGAGAAGCGTGGGATCCGGACCTACAGGGATTTCTTCTACAATTGATTTAAGTTTTTTGATTTTAGTTTTGCTGTTAACACCAACATTTATGGGGAAGTTCACGCGGTTGGGATGAGTTCGGCCTGTATACAGTGATCCTAACCGGCTCCATCGGTCCTGTACCAACAGTAGGACGTAGAGCTTTTTACCTTAGCTCAGGAATTTAAAATTTCAACGACTCAAGCAAATTTTTGATGGAACATTCTACCCAAACGGAAAATTGGTGACTATGGAAACTGCGTGCGGGTGTTGCATCGGTCATCTTTACATTAGTAAGCTTTTCTGTATGAATACCCATATCATGCCAACAGCTGGCCTGCGCTTTTGTCTGGCACCTTAACAAATAATCTATCATTCTATTTAGTATCAATTGGAATCAAGTTTCACGAGTTCTATAAGAAGCATCATTTGATTATCACGTTAATTAGTGAAAAAACACACAGCTTAAGAAATTACGGCAACTCATTTTCTTTATTACCTTGCTAAAAGGGCGAGAGTTATAAAATTTATCAAATTATATCACTCAAATTACGCAGTCTCGATACTAACTCACGGCTTCTGATGCAGTTACTTATGTGTATTTCCTTTCGCGCATTGCTGTTGAATCTAGGCATAGATGCCTTGCTTTCAAAAGGATGAGGAAAACGCGACATTTCAAGACGAGTGACTTCTCGGAATTCAACGTTATTGATAAATGTAGTTAACTGATACTAGAACAACAAATATCGTGAGATAAAGTGTGTAGACGCAAGACATTAGAGTGATAAAACAAAAGTTGTAATATTTATAAGATAAGGCGACGTGCAGATCCTTTACAGTACGGGCGAAATAATAATTTAGAGACAGCAATTAGGTGTAATACGTCCTTGGCCTTATTGGAATGTTAAACTCTCAACATGATGTTTGATATTTGGTATCCTTCGGAATTAATTTTGATGTGAACTAAGCCGTAGAGGCAGTGTCCGTACTGGCCACGCCTGAATAATCGATAGGGGCTTTAGGGGTCGTGGGAATAAACATTGGGAGATATGTCTACCAGTTAAACGTCAGCACATTCAGTAAATAATCAAAGTTTCATGCATACCACGAACAGTGACATGACTTGTTTACTTGAGTTAGCCTCATCAGATCATACCAAGTACTAATAGTAACGTACCCGACATTAAAATAGAGAAGATAGCAGGTTGACTAGATTTCTTTCTCGTTTCAGAGCTCTCTCCAAGCCAGCTCTGAACTGCAAATATAACCGACGCCCTATCTGCGATCAGAGACGTAAACTGTATGTTAGATTGGGAATCCACCATCCGACAAACTTGTTGCGCGTAAACATGGCGGCCATAGGTAGAGTGCTTCCTATCGTTCCACCAATATCCTGGGCGCTTTCTTTTTCTAATGGACGTTGATAAGGTATAACTTAAATTACATCAGAAATTTGTGCTAAAGAGGGAATTTTAAGTACCTACTGAGATCTTTTCTTCTCTTTTGGGACATAATTTCTTAATGTGCGTCCAATTTTAAAACGGAGCGTTGATTTTCAAGGTAACAATCTCATGTGCTCACGAGTTTGGTCAGCTTACCCCATGCTAATTCTGGACATGATCCGTGCGAGGGCAATCCTGCAGTGTCTGGCAGTCCTCGGCTCGGGTCCTTTTGATGAAGCCGAGGGTTCTGTAAAGCTGTCTACATGTTGGCAAGGCCAAGCATTCCGATTCACATCTCGCCGACTAGTTTCAAATGATTGATATGCAAGATGTTTGCATCACCTTTGATATTACTATCTCTCAAAATGCGATACAGGTTCGCCAAGTAAAAGCGCAATCCTAATTTTCGTTAAGGACAATTTTGACACAAGGCTTCAATGTAACCACCAGCTTGCAACCATCTAATAAATCTTCCTAATTGTCAACGCAATACCAAATTTCACAACTTAAGTAACACAGATGAATTTTCGGGCTCAGACTTCAAGGAAATGCTGAAGGACCAAGCTCAACCGTACTTATGTCGGGAACAAATCGAAATTTATCGACTGTCAACCCTCAATCTGATATAACCACCACAGCTACAACTTCAGATGTTGCTGCTCATAAATGGAAACATCTGCATCCAACACCCTTGAAAATAAGTAGCGACCACGACTTTCCCACTCAAGATACTCCCTCTTTTCACGATGCTCTAACCAATAATCAGTCTTGTAAATCAGTACCTATGCCAGCTAGACCTGGAAGGAATAGAAACGAAGTCTCCAAATGTCGTCATCCTAAAATAAGCTCACTCAAAAAAGATACCCGCCCGAAACCATACGTGCTCGAAGTGCCTAATGATGCTCCTCGACTCTCTTCAAACAGTAAGCTTCAAGGTAGACTGTTGAAATAACTTTACTAATCCTAAAGTCTATTCTGATTTCTTTCCCTGGGTGGGAAATAATCCAGAGGATCAGTTTTCAGAAACTATAATTCGGCAAGGCTACTACGACAAATGTCAATCGGCCCAAATTGAAATAGGTTCGGCCCGCTCCACAGTCTTTCCCGCACTCAAACACAAAAGTGGCTTGCAGACATTATCTTCGACTATAACTTCCATACTTCTCCAAAGAAGATCACACAGCCAGATTGTATCTACGTCAACCTTCAAGCCACCTCCACGAGTTACTGTAACTGATACCAAAAGGGAAATGTGGCTTAAAGATCTAGCAAATCCGAGCGTTTCTTTGCGTCGTCTTAGCCGTTCAATTCCTCACGGGGTGCGCGGAAAGGTGCTATTAGAACAAGCACTAGCCAAGTACATCCCGATTGAACGAACTGTATGGCTAGCTAGATGTGTCGGAGCCAATGAACTAAGATCTTTTAGGAGAAAGGGTGTAAGTGGTACATTTAGTATGGGAGGAGAAACAAAATGGATACGCGACTTTACAATATGTGTTGAGCAATTCCTAGAGAGTATTATGGGGTCTTGCAGCGTTAATAATTTTAAGCTAAAAATTGATTATGCGTAAGCTCTTCTAATGAATTGCGAAAGTCTGTTAACAGTGTATTATAGAATTCGACTTGCCACTCATTTTTATGATGAATCATTACTAGATCGTGACCACTACTTGGAATGGATTATATCATCATTTGAGAATACCACTCAAACTAAGCTGCCATTATGGCTCCTTATAGTACAGATTTATTGGAAAGATTTATCACGATATCGGAAGTATGGATGCCGGTTATCGTTTGGATTGCTGTACCATTTATCCGAGGTATACCATATTAAATCCCTTCTCTCCACTTGATACTAAGGTGTCTTAGATTGCAAGCAGTTCTGATATTGATCTGCTGGTTCCACTTTCAGAGCGTGTAACTAATTTGATAAAAGACCAAATGATATGGAATCGTAACAATTTCGTAGCACCCAAAGCATGGGCTCAATACAGAGGCTTAACTTACTCAAATGTTGTCATTGGCGATAAAAAAATTGTTCCATTTTATGATACTATCGACCTAAGGAATTCTAGGCTAATCACTACCTACAAGACTAAAACTTTATCGCCACAACAAAAACTATTGAAATTACTTGACGAAACTCTTACAGGTCTGTATACAAACAAAACGGCTTGTGAAGCCTGGAGCTTGTGCGATGACAAAATTCTTCTGGCGCAAGCAATTGTAAATTGGTCTACTTCATCGTGCAGGCCTGGTAAGACCAAAATTTACGTTGCGGCTCGAATTCTTAGAACCTGGTATAATTTTAGTATAAACATCACAGAAATTATCTTAAGCTTCCTCGAATTGGACTGTTGCGAGTCTGGTCGCAACAAGGCCGACCTTTATCACCTCATATCTGAGCTAGCCCGATCAGGTCACTTTTATACGCCTTCATATGTACAGTGGATAATTGCTCGTGGAGGCGTACAATGCCCTCAGGCTCTGGACTTAGACGGGCCCTGCGCTACACGCTTGCTAGCTGAATTACCAATTTCTAATCAGAGTAAACCGATTTTAGATATGCGATTGATGCTCATGAGCAGAGCTAATTATTCCACGCATGAAGAGATACAATCGGTCCGTAAATGCAAATCATTACTATGCAGGCGTCTATCTAGGGCACAAAATGATGTAAGCCTAGAATCTCATGACTCGAAAGACCTGCTGGAAGATACTAGGAGACTATTCTCTAGTACCAGCCGAACGGTGAAATCGGAGATAGGCCTGTGGCTAAGAGATCAAGTCATCCACATGATGAGACTGCCTGATACTTTGTTAAAAGATTTAGAAGATCCCAAAAAAGAATTCAAGGCGTCAACCATCACTTCATCAGAATTTGATATAGTTTGTCAAAGCCTCGAAGATTTAGAAGATATTTCAATGTTAGCGGATGTATTGAAGATCGTGTCGACTTGCAATGATATTAACATCCTTACTTTATGTACTGATACTTTAAACCTGCACCGCGAAAATCTTGCTGCGATAGGCGCATTGTCTGAAATTTTCGGAGCTCTTCTGTCCCGCTCACGAGAGATAAGAGAAATAACCAATTTCGCTCCAGTAAGTTTCTTAGAAGCCTTGTTAGAGCTAGGTTCAAGGATCGAGAATCAGGATATAGTTATTGAAGAATTAAACCAAGAGTTATCACGAATCTACAATAAGCCTAAGATAGATGCATGCTCTCCTATTTCTGATTGTCATGGTATTCCTGAACCAGCAGATCCTAACATTATCGAGGAAATCGAGAAACTAATGACATATGGAACTAACTTTGACCATAAAGCACTAGAGAAGTTATTTTGGAAAACTACCGCAATACTGGAAAGCTCATGGGAAAACCTTTTAGAGAAGCAGCGTACATGCGGAATGTTACTCACCAAGATCCGAACACATGAAGCTCGCCAATTTGATACATTAATGGCGAAGTGGCTTGAGAGAATTATTGATCTGCCATGCAGACCAAATTTGATACAAATCTGCGCGCCGCTAGTTTGCACTGGCTGCTTGACACTTCATATTGTCCTCAGCAATTGCGAGGATAAATTCAACGATACCTATTCCAAAAAGCAGTCAGATGTTAGTGATCTAAACCTAGAAGTTCTTGATTTAATATTTTCATGTCCGAAAACCTTGGAAACATTGAATTCAGAAGAAGCCAATAGATTCCGAATCAAGCAAATGGATTTACTCAGAAACTCATTAACTGACGCGATCTGTGCCTTGCGGCTAGCTTTCGAGATTTTTCAAACAAGCTCTAGAACAACACATAATATATGTCGATCTGAACTAAATTATTTTAAAAATAAGAATATGCAGCAACTTCTCCAAAATTTAGTTTTGTTTGAGACAGATATATTCGTCCATGAACTCCTAATTCCACTGTTAAATAGCTCTAACTCTGATGCCAAAGCTGCTATAAATAAAGCTATCGATCTTGTTTTAAATCCTTCTAGTTTCCATGTCAAAATGAATGCAGAGGCTCTCCTTAACATTGTGGATGATCTATCCATGCAATTTTGTCGGGTGAAACTTATTATAATGTTTGGGGCCCTGAAGGTGGGACAAGGTCTAGATGACAATTTGGGTAACTTGGAATCTTTTTACATCGCAATTGAGTCCGCTATTTTTACAGGGAAAGGGAACTGGGCTAATTTGGTTCCATTGCTTGATATAAATCCTGCCCAATATCTTCGGCACAGAGCGGAAACTAAGTTTATTTCTCTCATACCGTCTCTAAAGAACATCGGTGATTTAAATTTGTCTACTCATGAGGGTCGGGTTTCAATTTGCAAGGATCTTCTACTCGTAATCAGTACTGCGACTTGTAGTCCTTCCGCCGCACCATCTCAGCATAATGATGACTCACAGCTCATCTGCGAAATATCAGATGTATTAAATGGACTATGGCTCATATTATCAAGCTCACAAACACAGGATCTCAAGGATTTTATCATAGAAAAATGGATTCCACTACTTCTCTCATTCATATCAGCCCATACTCCTATTCTAGAGGCAATAAATTCTTTAACTGAGAGCAAGGCAAAAATAGTTCATACTTTAGTCTCTTTTATGTACCACCTCCAGATTTTTAATACTAATCAAGACGGAATCGAACCTTTGGTAGAAAATTGTTACGACCTTGCCATTCATTTAGCAGACTACCTTCCTGATGATATCCGTCAACAATGTTTCAAAAACCTTCATGATGGCACTTATACTTTTCAGTTATCATATCTCTTCAACTACACCTCAGGCGATAATGAAAATCTAGTCTTGAGCCAAAATGACCCAAAAATAGCAGATCAGTCAGCTGAAGCTTCTGATAAGGACTGGTCAGAAAAAGAACAGCTAAAACCTTTCTACATACGAAGATGGGAAATGCTTGGCGAACCCACGCCCAATATGTTCGAAAACGACACAAGCCTTAGCTTGACATTATTTGGAGCACGAAGGAGCTAGATATAATTATTCTGTCAGGTTGAATCCTGTAAGATGAATTTCAAATATCGAAAAAATTAGGTATGCCGCTGGTTCGTGATTAATCGAGACTTTCTGGCATGTCTATGTTTGATAAAGTTCTAGAGATTTCACAGAACAATGAAGCTTTAAATGAACTCGATACTGAGCTTCATACAATTACCTGAGTGCTGTTTAATAAAACTATATGGAATCCTGCAGGTAGGTTCATCGTCCTTGCACCTTAATCTCATAATTCTTTAAAATAAGATGATATTTATTGAAAAAGTGAAATGCCTGACGATAAAGCAAGTAGACAGAGCCCACCAATGAAATTGGCTTACTGCCAGGAAAATAACGAAGCGTCAAGTATATGATGGCTCATCATTCTGCATCTTGCAAATAACGCTTAAGCTCACCTCGAATGAGTCTATGAACCCGACTATAAAAAGTTCAGAATGATCAAAAGACTTCTCACAGCTTGCAAGTACAATAATTTACAGGCAGATAAAATATTCCACCAATAAGGACTACTAATTTTCAATATAATTTTATAAGCAAACTAGGCAAAGATGAGACAGTTTTGGTCAGCTGGTAACTTCATTCTTCCACCTAGACTGTACATCATGTCTGACATTATTGATACTCATCGATAATTTCAAAATACGAGTAAATATATCATAAAATCCGACTTCGTTTCAACTACGCTTTATCCACTTATTGTTTCCAAATGACCATCTTCCTTGGTTCGCAGATAGGAAAATCAGTGCGTAGTTTCCAAGCTAGCATCATAAATTAGCGCGTTGTCCATTTACGCGCTACTATGACTGTAAACATTTCAAATAGTAGTTATTAAGTTATCACTGCTATCAAATGTCAGCAACTGATTTCATTATACATAGTCAACCGCGAATCTAGAGTGCAGATATTTAGCATAAGAGGATTTCCAGATCCCACAAAGAAGATTCAGCTGGAGAGAATTTATGCAGTTACAGCTAGCTAGCAAGTCTCTCATCTCTGAATCGAAATACATATATATATACATGTTTATAAAGAGCAGGACGTATAAGACATCAGGAATATAGAGGAATACAGCAACATACTATTCTGACTAGAAGATTCTATAGTTATGAGTATTAAAAACCACGGAACTAAATGAGGAAACAGTATTTAAAGTTTTTTAAAATTATTTAATTTATTAGCAGCTATCTAGCTGTCGTAATCAGTGTGTGCCTTGAATATTTTTGGATGAGCCTCTCATCTTGATATATATTCATAATACTAGATAGCATTTCCAAATACAACAATCAAAAATGTTCGCTCCCTATCGAATGAGCTAATGACTTTATGACTGTCTGAGTCACTCCGACTGGTTCGAAGTGTAGGCCTTCACGCACGGGTGTTGATCACACTAGGGCCTCGGCGCCTACGTAGGATAACTCTCTGTAGATGGCTTAGATAGAGAATCAAGAACAAAGTGACAAACCATTATCTATCTGCTAGTTGATCTAGCCTGTTTGGTCCATGAACTTTCATGTATTATCTTAGAAATGATGACTGATTATGCTGATGAGTATTGAGCTACCTGTTTAGGAATGGCGTTAGGAGAGAGAGATAAATGCTGTATATATTTGTTTTCTATAGCTAGATAAGATGAGAATCAAGATAAATGTTAACCACCAGTTGTTACTACTGGTGTAGAAAGCTTTTGATATAAGTACCACCCGAGAACTCCGACACTCAAATATGGCAGCCGGGAAAAATCGCAAAAACCACTGAGAGCGGATCTCTTCTAATACAGACACTAGGACTAGATCCGAGGACATAGTGATCTTTCTGAAGCGTTCGAAGAGGCTTGCCCTCTGGGCGCTGCAGACTTGTGTGTATCTCGGGAAATTCACACTCTGCCTTTCTAGCCTCCTTCCAACTCCTTCCCAAAGGTCGTGGTGAAATGTCAGAAAAGTCTTGATGGAGCGTGATTGCTATATAGTAGCTTAGCCCAACTTCTTTTGTGCCGTCCAGGGCTCTGGGGAGTACTGTTGACTCATCGACAATAGAAGTCCGCATGGCTAATTGGCCGAAATAGCCGAAATCTCGGTCTTGGAGGGGTCTATTCACAATACCTGTCAGTGGTATCCCCTACGAACCTCCAGCTCTCACTGTAGAGTCTGCAGAGCCGAGATTGAGTTTTAAAGTCCTCACTTCGATGAGAATTTTCATTCGCTTTTGACGTCTGTATCGTCTGTATCGTCTGTATCGTCTGTATCGTCTGTATCGTCTGTATCGTCTGTATCGTCTGTATCGTCTGTATCGTCTGTATCGTCTGTATCGTCTGTATCGTCTGTATCGTCTGTATCGTCTGTATCGTCTGTATCGTCTGTATCGTCTGTATCGTCTTCATCTCTCAACACAATCACCCATCACCATTATCATGAAGCTAACCACGAACAGATCAGATGGTAGGGTCGGAGCCCTACTCATCACCAACCCTTGATCATGGAGGAAAAGCCATCCGATCAGTTTCCAGAGCGTACCTAGCACTCGATACGGAGATGGCAGATTGGATCAAGTCGGCCTCGACTGTTATAAAGAAGGGAGATATAGATGAATATGCGCACCTCATGTGGTCCCGGTGTCTAGGCCTCGCCTGGCTGGGGCTGCAGGTTTTTTGAGAATATTTCCCGACCACGCAGTTTTTATTGCTACCATTTTTAATTTTTTGGGTAGAAGGTTCCGCGGAAAAGGTAGCTGAATTCCGCGGGTAAATACTGAGCTGGATGGCTATTCATCAAGGTCAATACATCAATGATCTTTCAAGTAATAAAAGAGGCAAAGAGCACTGTACGAGGTGTGACCTAGGTCAGAAAGGAGTCTAATGTGCTAAATAGTCTATTACTCAAGTAGTACAATAAAAACACACACACAGATAATCCACCGAAACCTGACAGGTGCCCAAAGCAATCTAGCAATGCAAATACGAAGTGTGCACATGGGACTCAATTCGCATTTACGTTACGACTGACCTTAGGATGATACGGATCTCTAAGAAGAAGTTGTATTTGGACAATAGGCTACAGTACGTGGGTAGGAGAAAAGATAGAGAGAAGGTAAATGCTGGAAGCTACGAGCCTGAGTTAAGCTTGACCACGGCTCCACCTTAGTGCAGCCCATGTCCCGGTTATCCCTTATCACGTGATCATATATTCGTCCACTAGTTGTTGGGATATTGAATTTAAATTTGAAATCTTCTATGTGACAGGAAGAACCTAACATCTATTTAGACGTGACACGGGTAGACGGGCTATGAAAACTCATTGCTACCTACATGACCGGCAGTGAAGACAGAAGCGACAAAAGAAAAGAAGGAAATAAAAAAGAGCAGTATTTGTCTGAGTTACGGTGCCCTGCGCCGTTTCTCTATCTTCCACACCCATCTCCTCTCGGGTCAGAAACAATCTCAGGGTGGTCACCTTCCACCCTGTTCATTCCTCGGCAGACTATAACATCTGCTTGTAGTTGGGATTTGAATGAACTTCTGTCAACCCTTCTCTCCTATCATTTCCCTGGCCCCAGGTGGGGCCATTTTCTCATAGATTCTCCAACGTAGCAAAGCAGGTCAGCACTATGAAAAATGCCAGGGCCTTTTCTCTAGGCCGTAAACGCATTTCAGATCCTCATGTTCGGGCTTGAAACGTCGATGGTAGTCGGCGTAGTCCCCGTGGCCTGTTCTTGCCGCAATAAGACGATGGTACGCCCATCTTGGTAAAGCTAGTTCCGGTGGTCTTTTGCAACGCATGAATAGGTCCAGATCTTTGTATCGTTTCGGTCGATACTTCTGCCACCACTCTTCCACGAGCTCTTGGCTGCGCTGCTTAACCCACCACCCTAATGCTACAAAGGTTAGATCTTGATCTTCTCCACTGGATACAGCTGAGGTTAGTGACCGGTTATTGGGAGCTCCCGAGGCTGATTTAGCCAGCTTATCGGCCTCTTCATTGCCTTGAATCCCCACATGCCCGGGTATCCAGCATATCTCCACACGCTTATTGTGTCTCAGCGACGAAAACTTGTCCACCACTGACTGCGAGGAGTTAGATCTTCCTCTTTCGAGCGCCTGGGTGGCCGCTTGGTTGTCCAGAAGAATGCAGATCAGTAAGTCTTCTCCTACCTCTATTGCAGCCTTCAAGGCTTTTATGGCGCCTACAACTTCTGCGTCGAATACCTCTGCTCCGGGAAGTGGACCGGAACCACTTCTAACTAGCTTGCCTCCTTGGTATACTACATACCCCCAGGCTGGTTTTCCGGGACCCGATGTTGATCCATCAGAGAAAGCGCAGACTCTGTTAGCTGGATGGGAAACTAACCATCGCCTTATGCTTTCAGACTTAGCTTCTTTTTCTCGACTACATGGAATCGATGCTGGAGTGCCACGTGGGAAGTATAGCTTTCCAGGTCCTTCGGCTGTCGGAACTCGACGCACACTCATTTGTAGGCGTGTCATGTACCGTTCTAGTTGTCTGAACAAACGATTTCTTTGTCCTGATCTAAGACCTAAGCGTCTTATTGTCTCTTTCGGATCCTCAGCCGCCCGAATGGCTTGAGGGTACTAGGCATCCATTCTTCGCATACGAGCTGCAGACCGCAGTATCTTTTGCAGAAGAATTATCAATGCCGGGGGTATTCCCGCTTAACGATGAAGAGCGTCATTGGGAGTGGTACGCTACGCTGGGAATGTTACTCTGATAGCTTTCATTATCAATTTTCCCAGTAGAGATATATGCCAGCCTACTCCAGTGCTGACTTCTTTATCTCGCAGTGTGGTTATTCGAGTGAGACCTGGCCACCACGCTTCTGCCTTGTATAGAGCTGTGCTCAGTACGCATGCATGTACCGCACGAATCAGAGGTCTGGGCGCTGCACCACATTGAACTCCGTTTATATGTCGTAAGAATTGGACTAGACGATTAGCCTTTCCAGTCCATTCCTGTACATGTTGCTTGAAG